TTTTTTTTTTTGACAGACTCTCAGAGTCTGGAGTGCCTGGCCTCAGCCTAGCTCACAGTAATCTCAAACTCCTTGGTTCAGGGGATCTTCCTGCCTCAGCCTCCTGAGTAGTAACTAGGACTACTGGGACCCACCACAACACTTGGCTAATTTTTCTATCTTTAACAGAGACGGGGTCTCACTCTTACTCAGGCTGGTCTTGAACTACTGAGCTCATGGGATCTTCCTGCCTTGGCCTCCCAGAGTGCTTGGAATATAGGTGTAAGCCACTGCACTCAGCTAAGTTTTCTATTTCTTGAATCATTTTGGGATAGAAAGCTTGAAAATGGTACAAGCCACCACACCAATCCTGCTGCAATTTGGTTTAAATAAAATGAAAAGGCCAGGCACAACAGCTCACATCTGTAACCCCAGTACTCTGGGAGACTAAGGCAAGAGGTCCCTTGAGCTCAGGAGTTCAAGACCAGCCTGAGCAAGAGCAAGACCTTTAGTCTACTAAAAATAGAAAAATTAGTGAAGTGTGGTGGCATGTTCCTGGAATGCCATGCTGAGGCAGGAGGATCACTTGAGCCCAGGAGTCTGAGATTCCTGTGAGCTAGGCTGAGGCCATGGCATTCTATCTTGGACAACAGAGTAAGACTCTGTGAAAGAAGGAGGGAGGGAGGGAGGCAGAGAGATAGAGAAAGAGAGAGAATCCTACTGCCTAGAATGGCTTATCTTGGGTAGCCAAGCAGCCCTGTACACCATACAGTGGACCAATAACATGGACCAATGATTACCCCACCTTGGGGCCAAATAATTCTGAAGCAGAGATTGATGACTGACAGAAGCGCAACATGGACTTTCAGAAGGTGCTACTGATTTCTGGAAAGCCAGCAAATTCTGATAAGAATGAGAAGTATGCCTAAAAAGTCCATACAAAGGGCAGTGAGCAGATTTGCAAAGGAAGAGAGCAAGGAGGCAACTTTATTAGCATTTGTTGATGGGATTAGTTCACGTGAGATTTCTAGGAGAAAACAGGTTAAATATATTAAATTCTGGGCTGGGCATGGTGGCTCATGCCTGTGATCCTAGCACTCTTGAGAGGCCAAGACAGGTAGATTGCCCTGAGCTCACAGGTTCAACACTAGCCTGAGCAAGAGCGAGACCTTGTTTCTAAAAACAGCCAGGCTTTTTGTGGTGGGCACCTGTAATCCCAGCTACTTGGGAGGCTGAGGCAAGAGAATCACTTGAGCCCAGGAGTTTGAGGTTGCTGTGAGCTATGACACTATGGCACTCTACCAGGAATGACAACGTGAGACTCTGTCTCAAAAATAAAAATAAAAATAAATTAATTAATTAAATTTTGTCTCCCCAACTCAGAATTTTCACAAACTGCTGGGTGCACATTGGTTCCAGAAAGACTGAAATCCAATATCTCATCAGTTGGGCAGGATTAGGGCCTTGCAGGCAGATGAAATAATAACAAAGAAATGTAATATTTCTTATCATTTGAGTTTATGGACTAGCGTTCATACTTTCTGTATGAGCCATGGCAAATGTCTGTTGAATGTGTGGCTAATGACAATGAGGCCAGATGGAGGGTGTGGCCTGGACCACTTGTCCTTGTTCCTTTTTCTTTTCCCTCCATCCCTCCCTCCTTTCTTTCCTTTTGTTTTTATAATAGCTGTATTAAGATACAATTCACATGTTATATAATTCATCCATTACTAAGTACAATTCAAAGGTGTTTAGCATATTCAGAGCCCTGCATCTGTCATCACAATCAATTTTAGAACATTTCATCACCCTAAAAAGAAACCTATACCCAAAAGCAGTCACTCCCCATTTCTCTTCATATCTCAGCCCCTGGCTGCCACTAATTTACATACTGTCTTCATGGATTTGCCTGGGCATTTCATATAAATGGAATCATAACAAGGATAGATGATTAAATTTGCAAACTCATCCTAGAAAAAGTACTACATACCTCATTGCTGAATATTGCTATGGTCACCTTTGAAATACTCCCCTTGGGAAGCTATACACTGATGCCACCCTTAAAAGCAATTTTGGAACTTTTTTTCTGGAGTGGCCATGAGAGCTGTTGTTATATATTACCTTTGATGTCCTGAATGTCATCAAAATGTCTTCAAGGCTCTTTCTGCCATCTTTCTGTGCCACTATACTGGTGCATATGAATGTCCTGGATGATGCTTTTAAGAGCATCAACAGTGCCGAAAAGAGGCAAACATCAGGTACTTCCTTATAAGGCTGTGTTCCAAAGTCACTGTTTAGTTTCTAACTGTGATGATGAATCATGCTTACATTGCCAAATTTGAAATCATTAATGATCACAGAGCTGAGAAAATTGTTGTGAACATCGCAGGCAGGTTAAACAAGTGTGAAGTGATCAGTCTCAAATTTGATGTGCAACTCAAAAATCTAGAAAAATGGCAGAATAATCTGCTTGCATCTTGCCAGTTTGGTTTCATTGTACTGACAATTTTAGCTGGCATCATGGCCCAGGGAGAAGCAAGAAGAAAACACATAGGAGGGAAAATCCTAGGATTCTTTTTCTAGGGATGTAATACATACTTAAAAATAAAATGCCTTTTTGTCCATGAATATTCTCATACAGGTTTCTGTGTGGATGTAGGTTTTCAGTTCTTTTGGGTATACACTAGGAGCAGAATTGCTAGGTCTATGTTTAACCTTTTGGGTATCCTTTCTGATAATTTTATTTATTTATTTTTTTAGAAATGGGGTCTTGCTCTGTCATCCAGGCTGGAGCACAATGGTGTGATTATAGCTTACAGTAACCCCTAAATTCCTGGGCTCAAGGGATCCTCCTGCCTTAGCCTTCCTGAGTAGCTAGAACTACAGGCTCCTACCACCACACCCAGCTAATTTATTTTTTGTAGAGACAGGGTCATTACTATGTTACTCAGGATGGTCTTGAACTCCTGGCTTCAAGCAATCTTCTCACCTTGGCCTCTCAAACTGGTGAGATTACAAGTATGAGCCATCATTCCCAGATCTCATCTGATAATTTTAATCTATTGATTAGAGTTTTTATTACATTTATATCTAATGTAATTACTGATATATTTGGATTTAAATATACAAATCTTTTTTTTTCTTTACTGTTTTCTCTACTTAATTTTTTTTTTTTTATGGTTTGGGATTCATTGAGGGTACAAAGAATTAGGTTACACTGATAGCATTTGTTAGATAAAGTCCCTCTTATAATTGTGTCCCACACCCAAGAGATATGCCATACACCACAACCCCCATTCCCCTCCCTCCTCTCCTCTTCTCGCTCCCTCATTTCCCTTCCCTACTCCTTGTATTAGTTCTTCTATTGCCTTCATATTAGAATTGAGTACACTGGATTCTTATTTCTCCATTCTTATGATGCTTTACTAAGAAGAATGTGTTCCATCTCTATCCAGGTTAATACAAAAGATGTAAAGTTCCCATCTTTTTAATGGCTGAATAGTATTCCATGGTATACATATACCATAGCTTGTTAATATATTCCTAGGTTGTTTCCACATTTGGCAATTGTAAATTGAGCTGTGACAGTCTAGTGCAAATGTTCTTATGATAAAAGGATTTTTTTTTTCTTTTGGGTAGATGCCTAGTAATGGGATTGCAAGATCAAGTGGGAGGTCCTATTTGAGTTGAGGATTCTCCATATTTCCTTCCAAAAAGGTTGTATTAGTTTGCAGTCCTATCAGCAATATAACAGTGTTCCTTTCTCTCCACATCCATGCCAGCATCTGTAGCTTTGAGAATTTGTGGTGTGCGCCATTCTCACTGGTGTTAGGTGATATCTCAGAGTAGTTTTTTTTTTTTTTTTTTTGGAGACAGAGCCTCAAGCTGTCACCCTGGGCAGAGTGCCGTGGCATTACAGCTCACAGCAACCTCCAACTCCTGGGCTCAAGCGAGTCTCCTGCCTCCGCCTCCCAAGTAGCTGGGACCACAGGCGCCCGCCACAACGCCCGGCTATTTTTTGGTTGCAGCCGTCATTGTTGTTTGGCGGGCCCGGGCTGGGGATTCGAACCCGCCACCTTAGGTGTACGTGGCTGGTGCCTTAGCCGGTTGAGCTATAGGCACCAAGCCTCAGAGTAGTTTTGATTTGCAGTTCTCTGATGAAAACCTACAATCTTATTCAGGGTATCTATTTATCTCATATGTTCCTTACTCATAAGCTTAAGGAATTATTTATCCTTTATGTCCCATGCTCTCCTCCCAATTTTTATCTTGTCACATTATTGTTTTTTCTTTCTTTCTTTCTTTTCTTTTCTTTTTTTTTGAGACAGAGCCTCAAGCTGTTGCCCTGGGTAGAATGCCATGGCATCATAGCACACAGCAACCTCCAACTCTTGGGCTCAAGCTATCCTCTTGCCTCAGTTTTTCTATTTTTGGTAAAGATAGGGTCTCACTTTTTGCTCAGCCTGGTCTCAAACTTGTGAGCTCAAGCAATCCAACCCCACCTCAGCCTCCCAGAGTGCTAGGATTACAGGCATAAGCCACTGTGCCCGGCCTGTCACGTTATTTTTTTCATTCTTCTATTTTTTCCTTTATTAGCTTAAAAGACTCAGTGCATGTTGAATGAGAAATGCCAGTCTATAGGACCAGGTGAAGAAGAGCAACCAAATGAGTTTGAAAAAGAAGTACTAGTGACAGAGAAGAGCTAGAAGAGGGGGCAGCTACTGGAATAGACATAGGAAGGCTGGTGTTTGCAGGAGTAAAGGCAACAAGAAGTGTGGCAGAGCAGTCGAGGAAGAGACAGATTAACAATTAGTAGTCACTTTAGCTTGGGGTGTCTAGTAGGAATAGGAGCCGGGAGAGCACATTCAAGGGTTACATGGGCAGGGGCATTTGTGGACTGTGGCTGCTGACTGCACGTCCAGATGGTTCCTTGAGTAGCAGGTGGGCATGAGCCACTCCTTCCCCCCAGAAGAATAGTGGAGACACTCTAGGGCTTGTTGAGTTTCAGGTGCCTGAAGGACATACATGAGATGACACTAAGTAAACAGTTGGAGCTCAGAGAAGCATCTAGGATGCAGATATGGATTTGGGGGGGTGTCACAGATGAAACTGATAATGTGGAATTCTTCAGAGATAAGACCCATTCTAGTTTCCTTTCCCCAAATCTCCAGCTTTGTTTCCAAGGCCATACCCACCTTCCCTATGTTAGACTTGATGCTGATGCCCCTAACAAAGGCATCTCCAGAGGTTATGGGCTTTTCCCCAGTAAGCATTTTGAAAACGGAAGACTTCCCAGCTCCATTGAGGCCAAGAAGTCCAAAGCATTCTTGTGCTTGCACGGTGAAGGATACTTCATTCACAGCCAGCAGGGGTACCTTCTTGACATAGATCTGAGATATGAAAGACAGGAGACACAGTGAGGAGCTGGTGGTCAGCAGTCCTGGAGCTGTACTGTGTTCACTGCACAGCACTCTAGGATAGGTCTGTGCTGCCTTTGTGCCCAGGCTGCCCCTCCTGCACACAGGCCCTGGGCTGGGACCTGCCTTCTCTCAGCTGCTACTTTCTTTCTTTTCTTTCTTTCTTTCTTTCTTTCTTTAAAGACAGAGTCTCACTTTGTTGCCCTGGGTAGAATACTGTGGTGTCATGGCTCACAGCAACTTTCAGCTCTTGGGCTTAGGCAATTCTCTTGCCTCAGCCTCCAAAGTAGCTAGGACTACAGGTACACGCCACAATTCCTGGCTATTTTTGCTGCAGTTTGGCCAGGGCCAGGTTTGAACCTGCCACCCTCGGTATATGGGGCCAGCGCCCTACTCACTGAGCCACAGGCGCCACCCTCAGCTGCTAATTTCAACATGAGTAGTTAGGCTTTCTCTCTTCTAACTTGCATATTGGAAACTTAGTTCTCTAAAATAAGGCTTTTCTCTTCTATCCCTATAGCAAACAAAATCTTTTTGATGTTTGTCTCATGATTTTCTTTGTTTTTAACCACTTGTAACTATAGGGAAACAATACAACTAACAAACTTGGAGGAAAATATTACCAAGTTCCTGGATATTTGAAATATTTTTCAAAAGAATTCTCTCTGAAGCAATCAGGGAGTCTGAGGAAACCTGGTTTGAGCTTTCTGAAATTTTCCCTTACCTCGGCTCCTCTGAAAATTGTCTTCTAGATCCAGAGAGATTCAACCAATCATGTTTGACTTTTTAGCCCTACTTGCTTCTTGGGGTTCATGGCTCTGGTTCCCTCCCATCCCAGGTCTTCCATTCTTCTAGGGACCATAGCCCAGAAAACACAGGGCTGAGTGGCTGATGTCTGTCTCTGGGGACATACATGAACTCAGATGTGATTCATTCACACAGAGGAACCTCACACTGAGTCAGCCACCAGGACTCCAAGCCCATAGGCAAGGCTGTGTCCACCAAATTGTCAAATTTGTAGCAAAGGTCCCCAGAGAATAATGTTCTTGACTTTTAAAAGCCAAGTTGACTTTACCTTTGATATTTTTTTAACAACTAGTGGATTTTTCTCATACAACTTTCTCAAATGAGTCTGGATAGTTTTTGCCTCTTCTTTGACATCTTGGTCTTCAGGTACTAGTGTAACTTTGCGCAACACTGCCTATATTTCCAGAACAAGGAGGGAAAATGTAACTGTTTTGAAAGAGGAGAAAGCAGAGGTTAAGGGGAACCACAAAAACCACCTCCCTAGGAAGACCACCTCCCTTGGTTCTTGTTCACACACTCCTACCCTTATCTCAGGAGTGCCTACAGGTATACAAGGCTGAAGTCATATAGACATGACAATGATATGGGAGATGGGGAGATTTCACATACAGTGACTTTTGAGGAAAACTATTCAGACTGAAAGCCTGAATATGGCAAGATATAACAAAAGGCTGTTTTCTACAAAGTTTCTTTGGGTGGTCTTGGCCTCTAGAAGATATTCTGACCAAGAGTTGAATAGACCCTTCTCCTGCCTGGCTCATGGATGACTATGGGGAAGAGATGTTCCAGAAGGTGACTGGTTTTAGGAAACCCAGAGTCTGACAAGCAGGCCCTTAAGGCACCCAGGTGACTAGCATTATGGATCAGGATAACAGAGGCTAAGCTAGGGCCATCCTCTCTCTCTGAGTGCCCCTGGGCATAGCTGTCATTGCCATGAGATTGGACCAGATGGTCTCCAGGCTCCTTCTGGTGCTGAAGAATCCAGGCAGTTAGAGACCACAGGAAGGAAGATATGAAGTCTGGCCCTTGACCTGTCCTTAGAATATTTAAATTCTGATACACTCACCAAATTTTTCTTTGTGCAGAAGTAAGCAAACCTGGTTTTCAGTTTCCAGAACATATTGGTTTCAATAAAGAAAAGCAGGATTATATATATGGGTCCTAAGATAGCCAAGGCTGTTAGGTACTTCCCTATCCCTAGAGACTCCCAGGCATAGATGTTCTTTTGGACCACATATCCTTCTGCTAAAATAGGATAAACAGAAGTGATCAATATCTGAAGACTGAAGTTATTAATCTTCAAAGCTATTCCTTACCTTTATGCAAAGAAGGTAATTCCTATTACAATAAAAAACACTTAACAGTACCCCATGATTGCATTAATGTACACAGCTATGATTTAATAATTAAAAAAAAGAACACTTAACAGAAGCATTATTATCATTAGTGCTATCACCATGGCCCTGCAAATAGTCAGCATGACTATTGTGTTTTCCTTGTGTGTAAAAATAATGTAATAAAAGACTTTCCTCATGTTGTATACAACAAACATATATAAATTTTCTTTGTCAATTAAAAAACAAAATAAAATAAATAAAAGGTTTTTCTTTATCCACACGACAGTTATTTGAAATTAAAAATATTTATATGTTTATTTCTTCTACCAATCATTAATCACCCTGCAATTTCAAATGACCACTAATGTAAAAAACACTTAAAGGCCTCTTTTATCTGGTGTATCTTAAAATTTTTTCTTTGAAATCTGTATTTTAAAATTATAAAATAAATTAATGCTCATTTGAAAAAAGAGACATGGGCCAGGTGCAGTGGCTCATATCTGTAATCCTAGCATTCTGGGAGGCCGAGGCAGGTGGATTACTTGAGCTCACGAGTTTAAGACCAGCCTGAGCAAAAAGTGAGACCCCCATCTCTACTAGAAATAGAAAAACTAGCTGGGTGTTGTGGCAGGCGCCTGTAGTTCCAGCTACTCAGGAGGCTGAGGCAGGAGGATTGCTTGAGCCCAGAAGTTTGAGGTTGCTGTGAGCTATGTGCCTCTACCCGGGGTGACAGAGTGAGACTGTCTCAAAAGCAAAAACAAACAAACAAACAAAGATACATGAACTAGAAAACACAGGTACTGCTATAGTTTTGTGCATAATTCTTTCATATTTTCTAGATATTATCTTCTAAAATAAAAATAGAATTTAAAAAATAAGCCAGGCACAGTAGTTCATACCTGTAATCCTAGCACTCTAGGAGGCTCAGGCAGGAGAATCCCTTGCACACAGGAGTTCAAGACCAACCTGAGCAAGAGTGAGACCCTGTCTCTACTAAAAACAGAAAAAACTTAGTCGGGCATTGTGTCAGGTGCCTGTAGTCCCAGCTACTAGGGAGGCTGAGGCAGGAAGATCTCATGGAAAGTTGACTACAGTCACTAATAATGTATTATATACTTCCAAATAACAAGAAAATAAATTTAAAATGTCTCATCTTAAAAAATGATAGGTAAATGAGATGTTAATAGGCTTGATTTTTAAAAATTAACCTGGATTAATCATTTCACGCTGTATAGCAGAATATAACACTGTTCCCCATAAATGCATATAAATATGATTTGTCAATCCAAAATATTAATCTTAAAAAGTCTACTTTTATAGACATCTTTTTTCTTTCTTTTTTTTTTTGAGACAGAGCCTCAAGCTATCCCCCTGAGTAGAGTGCTGTGACATAACAGCTCACAGCAACCTCCAACTCCTGGGCTCAAGCGAGTCTCCTGCCTCAGCCTCTCAAGTAGCTGGGACCACAGGCACCCGCCACAACGCCCGGCTATTTTTTGGTTGCAGCCGTTATTGTTTTTTGGTGGGCCCGAGCTGGATTCGAACCCACCACCTTAGGTGTATGTGGCTGGCGCCTTAGCCACTTGAGCCACAGGCACTGAGCCTATTTCTTTTTTCTGTAGCAAAATGTGATGTTATTAAATTAAGATTATTTTTTTCCCCTGGGACAAGAGTCTACTCTGTTGCCCAGGATACCAGGTTAGAGTGCCATGGCATTAGTCTAGCTCACAGCAATCTCAAATTCTTGGGTTCAGGTGATCCTCCTGCCTCAGCCTCTCAAGTAGCTCAGACTACAGGCACCCACCACAATACCCAGCTAATTTTTCTGTTTTTTTAATAGAGATGTGGGATCTTGCTCTTGCTCAAGCTGGTCTTGAACTACTGAACTCAAGGGAGCCTCCCACCCTGGCCTTTGGGATTTTGTAATCCCAAAGAGCTAGGATTACAGGCATGAGCCACCTCGTCCCTACAAACGTCTTAATGAAAATAAAAATATGACATATCAAAATTGTGAGAAACAGCTAAAATAGTTCAGCTGAAAGTGTCCATGGTATACCATTAAATGCTTACATTAGAAAAGGAAGTTCTTGGCTAGGCATGGTGGCTCATACCTGTAATCCTAGTACTTTGGGAGGCCAAGATGAGGACATTACTTGACACCAGGAGTTTGAGATCAGCCTGAACAATACAGTAATACCCTGTCTCTACAAAAATTAGAAAAATTAGCCAGGCATTGTTGCAGGTACCTGTAGTCCTAGCTACTCAGAATGCAGAGATAGGAGGATCACTTGAGGAGTTTAAGGTAGCTGTGAGTGAAGCTGACACCACTGTACCCTAGCCTGGATAACAGAGATTCTCAGGCGGTGCCTGTGGTGTTCAGTGGGTAGGGCGCTGGTCCCATATACAGAGGGTGGTGGGTTCAAACCTGGCCCCAGCCAAACTGCAACAAAAAAATAGCTAGGCATTGTGGTGGGTGCTTGTAATCCCAGCTACTCGGGAGGCTGAGGCAAGAGAATCGCCTAAACCCAGGAGTTGGAGGTTGCTGTGAGCTGTGTGACACCAGTGCATACTATTGAGGGCAACAAAGTGAAACTCTGTCTCTAAAAATAAATAAATAATAAGAACTTTCCAGAGATTCTTTCTCAAAAGAAAAGAAGAAAAGGATCAGCACCTGTGGCTCAGCAGCTAGGGCGCCAGCGACATACACTGGAGCTGGCAGGTTTGAACCCAGCCTGGGCCTGCCAAACAACAATGACAACTGCAACCAAAAAATAGCCAGGCTTTACAGTGGGTGCCTGTAGTCCCAGCTACTTGGGAGGGTGAAGCAAGAGAATTGCTTACACCCAAGATTTTGAGGTTGCTGTGAGCTGTGACACCAGGGTACTCCTCTACCCAGGGCGACAGAGAGAGAGAAAGAAAAGAAAGTTATCAAATTGGCTCGGTGCCCATAGCACAATGGTTACAGCAGGAGCCACATACACCAAGGGTGGCAGGTTCAAACCTGGCCCAGGCCAGCTAAACAACAAATTCCAACTGCAACAAAAAATAGCCAGGCGTTGTGGTGTGTGTCTATAGTCCCAGCTACTTGGGAGGCTGAGGCATGAGAATTGCTTGAGCCTAAGAGTTTGAGGTTGCTGTGAGCTATGATGCCACAGCACTCTACCAAGGGTGACATAGTGAGACTCTGTCTCAAAAAAAAAAAAAGGAAAAGAAAGTTATCAAATTAATAATCTATACTTCCAGCTTTAAATAGTACAAAAAGACCAACAAAATAAACCCAAACCAAGCAGAAAGAAGGCATATTATGAGTGAAAATTACTGAAATTAAAACAAAAATAGAGAAAAATCAATGAAATCAAAAGGTGGTTCTTTGAAAAGAACAATATAATTGGTAAATCTCTAGCAAGACTGACAAAAAGGAAAGAAAATATAGCCAATATCAGGAATGAAAAAAAGGACCTTACCTCATCACAAACTCCATAGACATTAAAATAATTATAAGGGAATACTATGAACAATTTTAGCCCATAAATAAAACAACTGAACTGAAACTGACCAATTCTTTGAAAGTATCAAAATACCAGAACTAAATAGTAACTAATAAGATGAGCTATCAAAGAAATTGAATTTGTAGTTAAAAATCTTCCAAAGCATAGATCTTTTGTCTTTTCAAAGAATAGTGCTGAGACAATTTGATATATATGCTAAAGAATGAATTTGGACCTTTACCTGATGCATGGAAAAAAATAACTCAAGTCTGGGTGAGGTGACTCATGCTTGTAATCCTAGAAATCTGAGAGGCCAAGGAAGGAGAATCACTTGAACTCAAGAGTTAGAGACTAGCCTGAGCAAATAGCAAGCCTCCACCTCTATTTTATAAAAATAGAAAAATTAGCTGGGGTATGGTGATATGTGCCTCTAGCTACTCAGATGGCTGAGGTGGAAGGATTGTTTGAACCCAGGAGTCTGAGGCCACAGTGAGCTATGATGATGCCACTGCATTCCAGGCTGGGTGACAGAGCAAGATCCTGTCTTTTATTAAAAAAAAAAAAAAAAAACACCAAAAAGGAAATTACGTTAAAATGAGTCAAAGACCTAAAAGTAGGAGCTAAAACTCTTATAAGGAAATACACATGTGAATCTTCCATATCTTGGATAAAGCAATGGCTTCTTAAATCAAAAGCATAAGCGGCAAAAAAAAAAAAAAATAACAGATAAATTAGACGTTGTCATAATTAAAAACTTTTGTGCATTAAAGGACATTATCAAGAAAGTAAAAAGCAACCTCCAAAATAAGAGGAAATACTTGACAATTATATATCTGATAAGGGTCTGGTATCCAAATTTATTTATTTATTTGAGACAGAGTCTGTCATAGCTCACAGCAACCTCAAACTCTTGGGCTCAAGCGATTTTCTTGCCTCAGCCTCCCAAGTGACTGGGACTACAGGCACCTGCCACAATGCCAGGCTATTTTTAGAGACGAGGTCTCGCTGTTGCTCAGGCTGGTCTCAAACTCGTGAGCTCAGGCAATCCACTCACATGGGTCTCCCAAGTGGTGGGATTACAGGCATGAGCCACCACACCCAGCCTTGGTATCCAAATTTATAAAGAATTCTTACAACTTTATGATAAAAAGACAATTCAATTAAAAGCTGAGAAAGGATTTGACTAGACAGCTCTCTCAAGAAGGTATGCAAATAGTTAACAAGCACATGAAAGGATGCTCAACATCATTAGTAGTTAGGGAAACAAAAATCAAAATCACAATGAGATACTAGAATAGCTATATGAATTTTTGTTTTTAGAGTTGGAGTCTTACTGTGTTGCCCAGGCTGGCATTGAACTCCTGGGCTCAAGTGACCTTCCTGCCTCAGCCTCCCAAGTAGCTGGGACCAGGCACCTAGCTTTGTAATATTAAAAAGGAAATTACAAAATGTTGGAAAATGGGTCATAAAATTACCGTTAGATTTTCCTGGTAAGAAATGTTAAAAAGAGTCCTTCAGGTCCAAAAGAAAGGACACTAGAGAGTAATCTGTCACCTTACGAAGAGATAAGGGGTTGAGTTAGGTGGCTTATTCCCATAATCCTAGCTCTTTGGGAGGCAGGAGGATTTCTTGAGGCCAGAAGTTTGAGACCAGCCTGAGCAAGGATGAGAGCCCACTTCTACGAAAAATAGAAGATTAAGCCAGGCGTGGTGACTCAAGCTTGTAGTTCTAGGTACTCAGGAGGCTGAGGCAGGAGGATCACTTGAGCCCAGGAGTTTGAGGTTACAGGGAGCTAAGCTGACCTCACTGTGCTCTAGCCTGGGTGACAGAGAAAGACTTTGTCTAAAAAAAAAAGAACGAAATACTGATAAATGCTACAATATGGATAACCCTGAAAGATGTTGCACTAAGTGAAAGAGGATCAACAGAAAGATCACATGTTGTATGACTGTGTCTTTGTGAAAAATCCAGAACAGGCAAATCATAGAGATAGGCAGTAGATTAGTAATTGCCAGGGGCAGCTGGGGAGAGAAGGGAATGGGGAATGACTGTTAAGTATACGATTTCTTTTTAGAATGATGAATATTTTGGAGTTAGATAGTGATAAAGGTTGAAAAACTCTCTGAATACACACAAACACTGACTAGTAAACTTAAAAAGGGTGAATTTTGTGTGAATTATATATCAAAAATATAACCAAAAAATTCCATTTACAATACTCACAAACTTCATTGCACTCAATGTGGTTCAGGTTCTTGGTCTTGCACAACTGCTGTAATTCAAAGTTGTAATATAAGTTGGAGAAAGCCATCCCCAGGCAGTAGCCTGGAAGTATCAGGAATGTATCATCCAAGGATTTTGCAACTGTTGTGTAGCCTAGCTCTATGAAGAGAAAAGGAAATATTACCTCTACTTGCAGGAAGAAAAGGGCACATCTTCTACCATCTCTCCTTCATTCTCAGTCTCTATACCACCACATTCCCAGACATTTGGAGCTGAGACCTGGTCCTCCCTGACCCCTGGTTTTCCCTCTTCCTCTATAGTCATCTAACCTCCAACACAAAAGGATTTTTCTTCTGCTATGCTCCTGAATCTGTGTCACTTTACTTCAATTTCAGTTGTTTATACACAAGAATCAGAAAGAGCACAACATGTTTAAGGAAATCAGTAAGGGCATGGCTGCAACAGAGGAGGCTTTTGCAGAGAGGGTGGAGTTGAGGGTAAAGGAGACGAGGTTTACAAGTGAGAAGGGGGGCAAGAGCAGGTCTGGTAGGCCAGCTACAGAGTTGTCTGAATGTCATCTTACAGAGAGAGGAGACAAATTACCATTAAGAGTCCCTTAGGAGACAGAATGACTCCTGAGAGCATTCCAGAGGTAAGATGTCAGTGTGTTTATCCAACCCTGAGCTGGAGCGATGGCAGCCTAAATGTGAAGATGCCAGTTTTAAGGAGTGTGGTGTGAATGATTCCTCACTTCTGGCTTCCTTTACTCTATCTGCACACTCACCAAGCAGGTGTTCCTTAACCTTGGTATATTCATTTACTTATTATCTTTTTTATCAAGGAATAATATATTTTAGTGAAATGCTCAGAGCATAAATGGACAATGTGATGAATTTTTAAAAATATATAAGCCCAGGTTACAAAGATTCCAACCAAGATAAAGAACTAGAAAGTTCATTAGGAAGTTTCATCACTCTAGAAAGTTCTCTAAAGTCTCTTTTTAGTCAATTTTTCTCTCCCCAACTCTGAGGCAACCACTTTTCTGATTCTATCACCAGGATTAGTTTTCTCTGCTTGTGGACTGGACGTGAGTGGTGTCATACAGTAATCACTTTTAGGGTCGACATCGTTATTTATGACACTCATTCACATAGTTAAATGTCCCTGTTTTATTAAGTAGTGATCCATTGAATAAATATGACAACTGTATTTTTTCGTTCTCATGGAGATGTGTGTTTGGGACGTTTCCAGTTTGGACCTCTTCAGACTATAGTTTCAGTGAACACTCCCCCTCAGGTTTTTAGTAGATACCCACCTTCCTGGGCACAATATCTGAGGCTGCTGGAGGAAACGTGAAAGTTTGATGTGATATGTGGCTAAAATGGTCCTTACCTTGTTCACCTGTGATGGAGATGAGAACAAAGGGGCAGATGCTCAAGAAGGTGAGCATTATGACAAGCTTGACACACGCATTAGCAGCATTTTCGAAGGAGAAACTGACCAAGTAGATGCAGGGGATAATGGCTGAGCCATACAACATTAACATCAAGATCACAGCCAGCATGTTTCCATTGCGTGTGAAAGCTTCTTCATTGTAGTATGAAAACACCATCTGAGGAAAATAAAGGGGGAAAATTTTAGAAAAGTCACTAAGAGTCAATCCTAGACACTGGAGAAAGAATATGATAAGCTCCATTGTAAAAATAAGGTGCTAGCAAATCCCAGGCATCTCCCTGCATCCACTCCTCCCCTGATGCAGAGTTCGGCAAGCCCCAAACTCTGCTTGCAGCAGCTGCCTTGGAAAGCACAGTGCAGCATGGCGGGATGAGAGTTCAGGGATGTTCACAAATTCCACAGTCAAAACAAAAAAGTAAGTGATCCACTCTGAATAAAATAACCATGGAACTCTCAAACTACTTAATTCAATCACAACCAAATACTTCAACCATCACTACCTTGGTGAGGTATTTCTGGACAATAAAGGTATTTCATGTTCCCAAAGCACTACCTCTTACTAGCTTCAGGCAGTAATTCTGTGGGTGCCACAGAATTTTCTCCTAACAATACCAGGAACTGAGTCATCATTTGTGTTTTTTGGGTGGCTTTTTTTTTTTTGGAGACAGTATCACTCTATTGCCTAGGGTAGAGTATAGCAGTGTCAGCCTGGCTCCACAGCAACCACAAACTCCTGGGCTCAAGTGATCCTTCTGCTTCAGCCTCCCAAGTAGCTGAGACTACAAATGTGCACAACCATGCCTTGCTAGATTTCTATTTTTTGTAGAGGTGGGGTCTCACTATGTTGCTCAGGCTGGTCTCAAACTTCTGGACTCAAGTGATCCTCCATTTCAGCCTCTCAAAGTACTGGAATTATAGGTATGAGTCACTATGGACCACCTCAGTCATCTTTTACTGAGGGTTAGTGATGAGGGAGCTTCCAAACCCTGAGTCCTCAGTCAGGGGCTGAGCTGCCAGCCTAGATGTCCCAGTGGGTTCTGCTTCTGCATAAGGGTTCCCAAGGTAAGCCTGTTGTAGTCTGTAGGGGAAGGACCCCAGCACCATCTAGTACTCACCACCAGCAGCAGACTGGAGATGAGAAAGGAGATGAGGTCCCACAGTAGAGCAGAGAGCCAGTAAGTAGCTACATAAACTCCACTGACCAACTGGATGTGCTTGGCAGAGAGGCATCTCTCTCTAACAATCAAGATGGAAAAAGAACTAGACAGGAAAGCTATTCCAAAAAGCAAGTTGATAACAAGATAATGTCCTTTAGGGCCCCTGTAAAAGATAGGACATGAGGAGAAAGGTAGCAGTTTATGTGGAACATAAAATAACAACTATCTTCTAAATAATAATATATATTTTTTGAGACAGAGTCTCACTATGTTGCCCTTGATAGAGTGCTGTGACATCATAGCTCACAGAAACCTCTAACTCTTAGGCTTAAGTGAGTCTCTTGCCTCAGCCTCCTGAGTAGCTGGGACTACAGGCACCTGCCACAACACTGGGCAATTTTTTGTTGTTGTTGTTGTTGTCATTCTTGTTTGGCAGGCCAGGGCTAGCTTTGAACTTGCCAGCCTCAGTGTATGTGGCTAGTGCCCTAGTCATCCCCAGTGTATGTGGCAGGCATCCTATCTGCTGAGCTACAGGCACTGAGCCTCAAAATAATAATTTGTAATTAAAACAAGAAACAAAGAAATAAGTAGGACTCAGGGTGTCCAACCTGTGGTCCACTGGTGGCATGCTGATTTTGTGAGGACTTTTTTGAGCTTATCTAGGGTGTCAAATATCATGAAAATTATGGATGGACCGTTTTTGGTTTTTTTTTTGCTAATTAGCTTTCATTAGTGTTTGTGTATTTACTATGTAGCCCAAGATAACTCTTATTCTTCCAATGTGTTCCAGAAAAGAAAAAAGTTTGGACACCCCTGATAGGTATAGAGCAGGGAGCCCTACAAATGAATAAGCTTGAACCTGGAGAGAAGAAAAGATGCACATACTGATATAAGATATTCTCTGAGACTTCTGAGGCTGACTGAGGTTGAGGGTGGTTGGATACGCTGATGGAAGCCCTGGCACCAGAAAGCAACTTGAAAAGGAAATTGTCCACCAAAGCCAGAGCCAGGGCAGGGGAATGGTACACCTGGTTGTTGAATAATGCTGTTACAACAGTGTGATTTCCCACATCTTCAAAGGATGCTGCCACTATATAGAGTCTGTTAAAGCCCTCAGGCTCTTCTTTGGCCTTTTTCAACAGGAACTCATCCATAGAACCTAGAAGGGAGGAAGATATCTGCTAGGCAATGAGAATTATAGACATCATGCCAGGCTGCGTGCAGTGTGATATGCTCACCATGGGTCCCCCTACCCCCGCCTGTTGTTCCTCTTTGTATCACCAGTGTCCACCACATCCAGGAGTGAGCCACTTCTTGCCACACCCTGACCTGCCTTCTAGTCTATCTATAAGTCTTGTCTTTTAAAAATCTCTTTCCATTCTGTTTATTTCTCTCCTTTTCACTGCCTTACCCAGGTCCAAGTCCCATCATTTTTGCCTGGACTATGTGTTGTAAACCAAAGCTCCTGCCTTCTGTCTGGTACCTCCAGACTGTTTGAAAGGACGCACCTGGTGGTAGAGTATCCTACCAACCAACTGTGCAGTGGCTCTCCACTGCCCTCACAACAAAGCCAAATTCCTGCATATGATTTATAGAGCTCACTAACTACTTAAACTCAGCCTCATGTCCTGAAGTTTCAGTCATGCCAAAGGGCTTACAAATGCTCTTCCCGTTGTTTACAATGTTCTTTGGTTACCTTCCCTTTGGTTACTACTCATACTTTAGATTTTGACCCTGGAGCCAACTCTGACCCTCCAAGGCGAAGACAGGTCTATGTGGTTTCATAGCACTGCAATCATAGTCATTGTCATTTTTTGTTCTAATTAACTATCACTTATCGGTGAGGTCTCTTGACTAGAAGCTTCAGAGTACTAGTAATGTATTATTCATTACTGCATTCCCACCACACAGTGCCAAATCAAATATATAATCCATCTAGAATTCCGGACTTGTTAGTGCTGGAAGCGACCTTTAATCACAGTGATGACAATAATGACAATAGCCCAACTGGGCCCAACTATACAAAGCACTTGATAGTCTCTCCCTCACGGAATTGTTCTAACTGAGAGGCAAGATTTACTACTTTCCTCATTTGGCATATGAAGAAACCAAGGCACAAAGAAGCAGAGCATTATGACCCAACCATTTTGTCACATCCTATTCTGTGCTTAATCTCTTTATTTACTTCCTTCCTTATTTATTAACTTATCTATCTACTATCATCTCAACTCCTGGGCTCAAGTGATCCTCCTGCTTCTGGCCACCACACCTGCCCTACTTTATTTTTTTGAGACAGAGTCTCATTGTCGCCCTCTGTAGACTGCTATAGCATCACAGCTCACAGCAACCTCAAACTCTTAGGCTCAAGTGATTCTCTTGTCTCAGCCTCCCTAGTAGCTGGGTCTACAGACGCCTACCACAATGCCCAGCTATTTTTAGAGACAGGAGTCTCACTCCTGCTCAGACTGGTCTTGAACCTGTGAGCTCAGGCATTCCACCTGCCTCAGCCTTCCAGAATGCTATAATTATAAGTGTGAGCCACTGCACCCAACCCTAATTTTAAATTTGTACAGATGGAATCTTGTAATTGCCCAGGCTAGTCTTAAACTCAAGTAATCCTCCCACCTTGGCCTCCTAGGTGTGAGCAACAATGCCTAGCTTCTTCACTTTATTTTTTAAGTTATTCCTTTAACAATTTATTTAATAAAAATAATACATGAATATAATTTTAAAAATCAAATAGTTAGATAAGATTTATAATAAGAAATAGCAGTGACCTGCCCTATCCCTCACAGTCCTCAGGGACTACTCACCAGAAGCAACCCCTTTCACATCTGCTAGCTGTTGTTTCTCCACATTCCAAATAAAACATTTGTATCTTTTTCTCTTACAACCTCTCCCACCACAGCAGTGATTTTCAACCGCTGTGCCATGAGAGGATCTTAGATGCACCACGAAGAATTTAAAGATCATTATTTAGCAAACAGTATAACCTAATTCTTTGTACTCAATGAATCCCAAACAATAAAAAAAAGACCATTAATTAAATTATTTTCAAAATAAGTTCAAAGCAGTGTCTTTTTACTTTTTTTTT